TTTTTGACCCCGATCACCCCCCCCCACCTCCCCTGGCAACCCCACTATTTTTTTACTAGCCCGCATAGTTTACTTAGTTAATTACTATGTATATGTAAAAACCCGATGAGAATTTATCGAAAATAAACGTATGTTGGCTAATCATGTAAATATACAAGAGAGTGGCATGACACTTCTCACAGCCTAATAACTACAGGTACATTAGTGTTGCACATGAAATGTGGTTTATTTACGTTTATGTACACCAGGAGGCTTATTTAATGAAGAGTATGCGAATTGGCTGATGAGAAAGTGCATACGGGGCGTTTTTAAACCTATCAAATTATTCACAAAGTTAGTTTTATTTTAACATATTCAGATAGTATGAAGGTTTTGCCAAAACTGAAATATAAAGGTGTCAAAAATCGAAGAAAAACAGATCCTTTTTCGGAAGGTAGTACTCATATTGTGTCTGTGGTAGTGGACCTGATTGTAAGTCCCTTACGAATCTGTTTTTAGACCCCACTTGAGTAATATTTTATCTCTCAAGCTCAAACAAAAGGATAAACTAATGTAATCATAAATTATTTAGATCAGTCGTAGCCAAAACTTCGACTCCTCATAGCAACGCCAGATGTTTTATATATGACCAATCAAAGACGTGACGAGCAGCCGTACCTATTCTCTATTATAACATCACAACTGAGTCTTATCAACCATCTTGCCAATATGACGCCGCAAAACAACACTTATACATAAAAGATCGCCATTTATATTTACACTGCTTCTGATATTTAGCATAGAAAATCACTTCAAAAATTAAATTTTTAACAGTATATCTTTTGGGAATGCCCATATTTCCTAAAAATGTAACCCCCTAACGCTCCATTACTTTACCTAACAAAAAGGGCAAAAAGTTTCAAACATATGAGTCCATAAAATCCATCGTAAGGTTTAAGCTTTTGAAGATATTTCACTCATGGTAAAACTTTCAGTTTACTTAAGAATTTTCACTAATTTTTTGATGAATGCGGAGGCACCAAAGGATGAAATTTGCATAACTGTGAAAAAGTATTCCAAATCTTAAAAAATCATAAAAGGAACGTTGTGATGGAGGAAAACACAAAAAACTTCTGCAAAAAATAAATAGAGTGGAAAGGCATAAGTACTAATCTCGTGGCACGGACAAGGGTAAGCTGCTGCTAATTTTGGGGCTTATTTAGTTTACTTAATTTGATTTACTTTACACGAACACTAATTGAAAGAGAGCGCACTCACCTCAGGCACTGACATTTAAATTTAAGCCGATTTAGTATATCTTCAAAAATATTTCATTTAATTTCAGGGTAGATATGAAAAATGAATTTTTTCAACTAATGGCTATTGGACTACATACGTATTTAGTCTGCTAAGTTTTAACACTACAATATCTCCAACGGACAAAAGATAAAAGTTATTGTGTCGGGGTCAGTGCATTAAAATCCGCAGAAAAATAGGGAGAAAACTGCAATTTTAGCTACCGAGCCCAAAAGACGACGAAGGAGTTCGCTTTGCTCACGGAAATATTTTTACTCAGTTAAATGATAAATTCAAACGAAGGTAAAACCGAAACTGTAACAAAGTGTATTTTAGGCCGCATAAAATTAGCGAAAAAGACCTACGAGACTGAAATGACAATTTCTGGCTTATTATCCGTTATCGGCCTGCCATACTAAATCCTTGAGGTTCGAATGTGCGGCCTGTTGCTAAAAAAATCCACACTTTACGATTACGCTATGAGATCCATGTATTTTTTGGTTGCGATTGAGTAAATTGGCAATGATAAAGAGGCGTTTATCGATCGCGTTAGCAGACACACTGGTGAAATTGTGCGTTAGGGCTAACTTTTGGTCAATGCAAGCAGGCTACAACGGTTACTAGTGCAGGCAGAATGGTTAGGGCATTGGACTTCTAACCAACCAGAAGGGTTTCAAAAACCTGGAATTATGTATGCCTGAGTGGTGACGGCCAATAAGACAGTAATGGAGATTACAGGATCCATTGCCTTTGTCAGTTAATTTTGTTTCGTTTATACGGCTAGTCGCTGTGTGCCTGCTGGGGGAGCTCGATAGTAAGTGTGTTAGGAAACGAGATCGGTGAGCGCTCATCTAAAAAGTGGATTTTAACTGAAAGTGCTAACCACCTTTGTTTTGTGAATACAACTAAAAATAACATGTTTTAAAGCTTAACCGTAAGGATTAAGTTGACTGAATAAGAACCGTCCCTTAACTTGTCAGAAGAGAATACGAGGAAGCTAGGAGGAAATAAGTTAAATTTAGCCAAAAATAATTTGGTATATTCTTCGGAAATAATACGGAAGGGGAAAGAACTTGACAAAAAGAACCACAAATTTAACGCACGGAGTAAGTCTGGACATTAAAGAATCTACTCAATAATACCAAACATTGAATTCGTTCGCTTTATGTACAATATGAAGCAAAGTCGAATGACAGACATGCAAAGGCAAGACTTACGAATATATTTTCTCAGAAGATGCCAACAAGGGCAAAGTGTTGGCAGCGGGAAGCCGAGTGTTATTGTTTATCTGATCCAGAAAATCCAATCGACGAAGGTTCACAGAAGGCAAATCCGCAGAGACAGATGCGACATCAGTCGCGCTCAGGTGACCGTCGAGCTCCAGAACGTCAAAGATAGCTTTTGTGAAAAGCCATAATCGACAAGAGCTGTCCTAGAACCATACAAAATATATTTAATTCCATTTAAGACAGAAGAGGCAGAAATATCGAAAGGAAATACAAAATACCTAAAAAAGCTTCAAAATTAGAGAAGTTTAAATTCCACATTTTGTTAAAAAGACATCTTGATTGATTAAGTGCATGACTAGAACTTATGGTAGAAACAACTCCGAAATATTATCAATGGTTGGAAATGAAAACAATTACATACATGCTTAAACCGTTGTGTGCAAAAATGAATAAATAAGGACGGCCGATAAAAAAGAAAGCATAGAGAGCACTTTACTTACCGTGTTCAACGTGCCACTAGCATACATGGCGATGAACCATTCCCCGGCTTCTCTAACATAAACGGGTAAATCTATTTTATGTATGCTGGACAAATATTGCGAGGAGTTTCTTCCGCGAAGTTCCAGCGAAACAACAAAGTTGGTGGACTCAACAGAAGCGAAGGTATGGGGTGGAAGAGGCACTTGAAAAGGTCTCACTATGGGCAAACTCTTTGGTTGAAGATTACTTTGATGAGAAAATTCAAATAAAAAATACCAAACTCACATTTCAAGGCCAAGATTGTCACATTCATTGGCCTTCTTCACGGAAATTTCCAAATTAAAAGACAAAGTATGTGGCGGAACTAGAACACGCAGGATTTTCATGTCACGATTACTGGTAAACGGTTGCATTATAACGGGTGCGAGTTGCTGTGATCGTGAGTCTAGAAACTTTATCAGAGCTAAAAAAAATAATCTCACATATTTTGATTCCATTTCCTTTCACATATGCCAAAAGTATAAAATAAAAAATTATCTTTGGGAACATTTTACAGAAAGGTGTGAATACGGATAAAAAATCTGCCCCAGTGAAACGGCAGTTAACGCTATAATTTGGGCGTCTCGGAAACTATCAACACGCACACCTTTTTAAAATGTGCGTACCAATTTGGTTAAGTTAATGTGATTGTTTTTCCGTGTTAACTGACGAAGTCAGGTAGAACGAAGGAACCTAAGAAAATTCCCCAAACAGGAAGAAATACGGTAATGTTGTCAATAGGAACTAATTCTAGGTCAGCAGATCACAAAAAACCTGCGATTTTATATTGTCCTGGAGCTAGGGAAGAACGAAGTGGCCCAGAAATCCAACTGTGGACCCGATTAGCCCATGTATAATATGACACGCTTTCGCTGAGAATATGAGAGGATTAAACCTATAAAGAATACCAGAGTAAGCAGCATACAGGCAGCGCTTCTGGAAGAACGACGACTGGCCCTAAGTAACTCGCACAAGACCGGGTTATATACAGAGAGTTAATGACAATACGTGAACTGAGGAAGGGCACGAAGGAGAGGATGGACAGAGGAAAAATCCGTCGGACAATCAAAAATGGGAAAATCGTGCAGATAAAGAAGTCAGATTTGTGGGGAAAACTCGTCACAATGAAGGCCAGCTCTCCCCAACGCAACCAACACTAATGGTACTAGGGGCGATGCAATATAACTCGTCAGTAGGCTGTTCTGTGTTTACAAACGGCCGTAAATGCGCTCCAAGGTGAGCTACGAAACACAAAGTAAAAATTTAAGTATCGAAAAACAGTAGTTTAACCACGGAGATTGAGTAATGCCAAAAATATGACGATGATATGCACAAATGCATGGATTATATTCAACAAATTGGATGAACTCAAACTGGCCGTGGACCATCTGCAACTTGACCTGATTGCTTTACTTGAAATATCGTTGGATGAACGGACAGAAGATGTGAAAGTGAGGCTGAAAGGATTTCAGCTAATTCGCAGAAACCAAGATGAACCTAAGGGTGGAGGAATTGCAATGTTCATACGAGGTGGCATCGACTACATCCTAGCTAGTCGGACATCAAACAGGAACACTTAGTGCGAAATACTTAGTTGTAAACTGAGTGTCAAGTCATCCGGACCTCTATATTGCTCTAGTATTCGGACCCCCAGGGCAGCGGAGGGACGCGGACGATGCACTTATCCCTGAGGTGAAACAAGCCCGCGGGAGCAAAGGCGTCTTTATACTTGGAAATGTTTTCTCTCAAGCTATTGTTAGGAAACTTATGCACAGCTCGCGAGCAGCAAAATCGTTCAAACAGAAATTACTTCCATTAGTAAGTGAAAATTTTGTTACTTTACACGCTACAATGGACCAGCGATTCTGAAGTGGCCAATAGTCTAAATGTTTGGATCTCGTCATTATTAGAATTAAAAAAAATCCTTAGATTTAGTACTCAGAACCCTTTTGGCCGGATGCATTATTGCGTTCCTTTTGGGAGTACAGCCATTTGTCTATACCCGTCACTCGACCAAACATCCAGAGAAATGTATGAAAATGGGATTACACCAAAATGAACGGACTACGCGACCAGACACACTGGATCCCTGTGTAAGTACCTGACCCGAACGACGCCTAGTACATCTTTAGGAACATAACTCAGCACTTATTACGGAACTATTGCCCGCTTAAGAAGCTTTCGCGCATCTTCTGGCAGGAGTACGTGACAACGATTAAAAAACGGAAGCTAGAGCAGAAAATAAGACTATGGAGAACATCTGCCAAATATCTGCAACCTGAGCACATCTCCGAGTTTTGAAACGAGCGATAACTATGTAGAAAACTCCTCCAGAAAGAACGATGAACCTTTGAGTCGGAAATAGTCAATAGTCAGTTGGGTTCCCCAAGAGAGCGTCCTGGGTTCCCTTCCATTTCTGATACACGTGAACTGCTATCTTGATCGCCTCGCCTGGGAGACAGTAATGTTTGCAGATGATCTAAGGACTTGAAATTCAGTGGAAAGATCGGAAGGTGCACTGACTTTACTAAATGACTTGGATCGCTTGCAAAAGGGACGTGGTGAAAGATTACTCGACCTTTATTTCAACAAATGCCAATCGTCCCCCTATGGTCTAGTCATAGAAAGGTAATACAATTTGAGTATGAGTACTTAGTCGGAGGTCATAAATTCGAGCAAGTGAACTAACTAGGGAATCCAGACGTATGTATGACACTTGCTCCCAAACCATCAACTCAATGTGTCAAAATTGCAAAGAGGACCATGAGCACCATTGGAGCGATCAGAAGATTCTTCCCCTGTGTTGACGAGGATGTTTTTGGTCGTATATCTGGAGCATTTCTCAGGCCGGTGTTAAAATATTGCAAGATTACGCAACGCTGAGTAAAGTTCAACAAACTACGACGGCTTGGAATGCCTATCATATAAGGGTCGACTAGAAAGCCTCGAACTCTTTCCTCTCTGGTATAATCAATGCAGCGGAAATATGATCATGTTCTTCAAACTCTTCAGAGGAGGGAGTGTGCTCTTCTGATAGCTTATTTTTTGAGTTGGCAAATACGACACATCTCCGAGGGCATCCATATAAAAAATAGAAACACCGTGCCAAAATTGAAGTGCGAGCCAACTGCAGTTCCCGCCGTGTCATGGATGAATGGAACAAATACCTTCTTCGGTTTTTCTTACTGAAAGCGCTGACGCACTTAGAAGAAGATTTGATAAATCTTTACTTGGTGTCCTTCATTCGTTACGCACCAAGTATGGCTTAAACCATATGCACGATTTACAAAAATCTATCTGTAAGTAGGGTTTTCAAAGGCCCTGTCTATCTTCCTTGTATATACTTATGCGTACTGAATTATGCTGTGGGACTTCCAGGAAATAGACAGAAAACTCGCCCATGGGGTTTAAACGTATAGAAACTGGATGAAGTGTATTGCGAATAAAGAATAGAGTGTGCTTGCAGTTATTAATAGGGAAACCGAATTTCAGTTTTACCCTGCCAACAGTGGTGTTGTAAACGCTGGCACAGCGTTTCAATCTGTATTATTCCCAACCTCTGTAGTTGAAAGAGAGCCGCAAAGCCTCAATGAAGCAAATTCATCCAGTCCAGGCAATATATCGGCCAACTTCTTGAAATAATTGGCAAGCGAGCTCTCGAAGCACCTAGCAAACATCTCTTGTTCTTCATTTGAATTGGGAAGATACCAATTTCATAATGGATGGTTCCACGCGCAATGGAAGTCTTCAAATACTAACGCCCTTTAAATTTCAACGGACTCAGTTGAAATTATTGCACATATTTCATTATATATAATGGAGATAGGCAGAGCCTTTGAAAGCCTTACCCACAGATAGATGCTGGCAAAGCCTGTTTATGTTTCGGAGAGATATGTGTACATTATATCAATAATTAATCTGAGAAGAAGACGACTCGATCGCTGGGACAATACTTTTATTTGTCTGACGTTTCGACATCCGTCGCGGATTCATCATCAGAGACATTAACAGAAAGCCGTAGCAGAAACGGGTAATAGACGCACAGGGGTTAGCAGTGTTTATAGGACACAGTCATTACTGCAAACATGCAGCGACAATTAGCGTTAATT